AATAAATAAACACTAAAGTCAATTTAAGAATTTTGCTCTCCTATTCTACATAAACGTGACGATAAAATTATATGATATCGTACTGTGTTAAGATAAAGTACAAAATCACTAAAAAACCACATAATTAATTTAGTATATTGAACATACATACCTTTATTAGGTATATAAAAGTCAGTACGTAATTTAAAAATTAAATCATAGTATTCTTTTAAAGGAATCTTCCATCAGTGCGACAGAACATTTTTCACAAAGGAATATGGTTCAACAGTCACAAAAAAATTATCTTCCATAGTGAACCTGATGGCTAGACGCGCCATGTATGTTTGGAAAAAAATACACATAATATAATTTATCCATAATTGTTGCATAAATTATATGACATTGATTAATTGTATAATAATTGTAATCATCATATAATAATTTTATAGATATTAATTAAATATGTTAATAAATTTATCACAAATAATTAATTATAAATTAATTAATTATTCAGTTTAACTGATCAGGCCACTTCCTTAGTGTCCACTAATGCATTATATTTTTTTTAACCCATGTTCATTTTTATTCCTATAACGATAAAACACATTGACTTCATTATTTTTCGTGACTTATGTATATAAACTATATATATATGTCTTATGTATATATGTATAAGATACTAATGATTCCATTTTCCATTGATGCATTTAAGATTATTTTCCATGGGAACCTGGACCCTATGAAAAAGCATATTATGTACTCTCACACATATCTTTGTGCATTTCTGGGGTGGGCATCAGCCACTTCTTGGGTGAATTCAATGAATTCACCTCTTCTTAAACCACCTATGCCGATTCCATCCTGTATACTGAATATAGTTTTATTATAATGAACACGATATTTGGCTTATGATTATGAAGTAATAGTCGTTATAACAGCGATAAAGGCACAAATTCAAGACAGCTTTATGGCGTAATACACTAGTTTTAATTATGTATGATAATGGAGAAAGAATACGTGTGTCACCACTTTTCTTCACTCTTAGGCTGTCGTAAGAAGCGAATAAAATATAAAATAAAACCCTATTAAATAAATAAATCGCTTGACACCACGTTATGTTAGACTATCTCGTATCTATATCGTAGTATTGGGAATTAGTGGCTAGCAATATACCGTCGACAACCATACGGCTACCATGGTAACCATCGTGATTAATTCCTAGTGAGCCCGTCTCATGTCTCGCATGCGTGTAGTCCCGGCATAGAACACCCCTTCCTTTCCCGTGGGTGTCATAAGAGGCGATTAAGGGAGGGCGAAGGATGGGCAGCAGCGTCCCTCTTAAAACATCTCTAAAGCCTAACTGCGGTTGTCAATCCGCCTGCTAAACGCGGCAACTACTAGCAAAACTCTCCAAAGGGGAGGATTACGTTCAGCAGAGGACCATTAAGGGCTGATATGATGATGATGATGAATCTGTCTTGACACGCCAAATGACTTTATCCTCATCTATAATATCTCACTGATACAATACAGTGGCGACTAAATCAATGGCAGAGGCAGAGTTACCATTCAATTTACCCACATGGAAGCAGCTGTGTTTGCATGGCTGTGTTTCGGTTTGAAGGGTGGGATATGGCGTCAATTTACTGGGTACGGAGAAATAACACCTGAGTCCTCAGGAATGGCAACGCATGGGGGGTATCATGGGCGAAACAGTATACTCTGTTATGTCCACGGTACTGCTCATGTCTATAGGCAACGGTTACCACTTTCCATCAGGTGGGCCGTCAGCTTGTTTGCCATTCTAAGTTGTATACAAAATAAAAAATGATGACGATCATCAGAAGGCCTTTTTAACTGACTTCAAGACTGTTTTGAACATATTGAAATGCTGGATTACGTTTTAGTATTTCTTATTTGTATAAGTTTTATAAAGTTTTGTAACTATATGACATTTTGTAAGCATATGTAAAATTTTTACAACGGCATATGATTACGTTCGTAATTTGAATTTGCATCTTTCTGTATCGAACCTATTACCAGCCAGTAACATTTATTTAGAGGCGAGAACTCAATTATGAATATAATGATGCAACACGGTTACCGAGAACAATGGAGGTCACATTTTGACGTACGAATAAGGTTTCTTCTCAAAGTGAAGGTTCGATTGTGTAGCTTTGCAAAATAAATTTGTATAATTACATACAACGTTTGAGAACAATTGTCTACATCAGAGTTGTTGGAACAACTAAGATATAGGCAATTGTTCTGATGTACAACCTGTTACAAGTGTTTAAGATTTTGTACACAATTCGACCGATTGGGTACTGCCTTATTCTGCCGCCAAACAGATGTACTTGCATGGGTGTATACAATATTTTAATATAACAATGTTTGTGAAATTACAGGGTTAAGAGGCATAACATTTTAATACTCAGGAATAGCAACGCATGGTACCAAGAGTGTCACAGTATATTCTGTAATATGCTACGGCGTTATTTATATCTATAGGCGATGATTCTACCAAGTAGGCCATCACCTCGTTACATTACAAATTAACATAAAAAAAAATTAATCATCAAGCACGTAACTCTACTTTAGATATAGTACAATATTACCGATTTGTAATTCCCATGAACCGTTCACATTACCCTACAAATTGCTAACTCTCAGTTGTTAATCTTTGCCAAACTTTCGCACGCGTGCCGTGAATTTGTTTCTGTGTTAATTCTATAACTACAGTGCAGTGCCTACTTAATTTTTCAGCAATCAGAACGTGTCTTCCTGCACCGCTGTAATGTGGCCACTTTCGCCGTCACACGCTGCCGACGGGGTTCAGTATTCGTAAATAAGTCTAGACAATTTTTATTTTAATATTAATAAAGAATGTACATCTTATATGATTTTTAACTTAAGAATCTTTCAATGCTGTAAATATATTAAAAAAAAAAATTTGTTTGTGCAGTGTAGCAACATTTAATTATTTTTATAGTTTATAATAATCATAAAATACAAAATTTATTGAAGAGGTTAACACATTTTTTTTGAAGTCGAATATAGAGTGGCCAATACGTCTGCGGTATCGGTATACACTGACGGGTCACCAATGAAGAATAATTGAGAATTAAATCAGTAAAGAATTGACCAGGAACTAACCACGACGATGTGGTGGAAAAGGGCTATTTGACCCCATTACTAACAATATATCCTGTCAGGTCGACCTCAACGTGGTTCTCCCTGGAAACTGTCGTGGTTAATTCTAATTGAAATCATCAGGATGGGTTAACTGCTTTTATCGTCATCTGTCATCTCTCACTGGTGTCCCGCAAGTGTATACCGATAGCGCAGGCGGGGTTACCATACCATTATCACCCATTAAAAAAAACACGACAATGTCCAGAGAGAACTGCGTAGGGGTGGGTATGATAGAATAAATTATTACAAATGGGACCATTAGACCCTATTACCGGCAATCCTCTCCACTATTATAGGTATAGTAATAATAATTACAATGTTTTATGTATTTAGTATCTAGCAATATAAACAAGCTCTAGCAATTAGTGTAACTAAATATAGGGATTGTCTAACCCAATGTTAATAGTAACTGCTAGCAAATTCCTTGTTATGCTATCATACACTGATAAGATTACTTATTTAGGTCAATATCTAGTGATAAAACCTACAGTTAAAGTAGCTGATTTATAATACTGAAGAATATAATTTGTACCTTGGCAAAACCTTGGCAGTTGTGTGATAAATGACACTCTTAACAGTTTCCATGTATTGTCTAAAGTATTTAGCTGTTTTGTATTAAATGTTTTTTTTTATAGAATAAAATGGAATGGTAACCACACCCACAGAATCAGTATATGCTGACAGGGTACCAGTGAGAGATGATGGGTGAGAGAGAATAAAAGCGAGACAGTGAGATAACAAAATACATAAATATTAAATATAGGCTTTCAAGTGGAACAACATGGAGGTAGACCTGACAGGGTATATTGCTAGCAATGCTATATTACTCCATTACTACCAATCTCTTTTCTCCCTATATTAAATATTCTACAGTTCATAACTGAGATTTTATATCAGTAAATTTTTATTAATTAATAATTTAGGTACATATTTTTTAATCACCTCAGGAAATTAAATTTACAATGGCAATTATAATACATACTAAGAATTAACACTAATTTGTTTCATTTCAATCCTTATTAATAGTAGTGAATGATTGTTTATTATTTAATTCTTAGTTCCTTAACAGTTGATCCCATCATGTTGCTTCTTTATATCCTAGTCACAACTAAAACAATTTTTTTTTTATTGGATGAAAATGGAGTGGTAACCCCGCCTGCGCTAATGGGATACGCTGACGGAGCACCAGTGAAGGGTGATAGATGATAATGAAAACAGGCCAGTTAGCCCATCATGATGAATTGATCAGGAATTAATCATGATAGTTTCCAGGGGGAACCGTGAGGAGGTCGACCTGTTTGGATATATTGCTAGCAATGGGATTCTTAGTCTCCATTAGTAACAACCCCTTTTCCCCCCAACTAAAACCATTGATATATTTATGATTATTTTTCAGGGAAAGTCCTATACTATAAAGGTGTATATATATTCACAGAAATATCTTTGCCCATAGCTCAATGCTTCACTCCTAATTCTGGTGTGGTCACTTTTTGGAATTCATCATGATGGGCTAACTGGCCTGTTTTCATTCTCATCTATCATCTAGCGTTAGCGCAGGCAGAGTTAATCCATTTTCATCCAACAAAAAAAAAAAAAAATATCTTTGCCTATAGCTAAATGCTTCACTCCTAATTCTGGTGTGGTCACTTTTTGGGTGGGCACAGGCAATCTAGCTTCTCTTTAAATTTGTCTATGATAAAAACTAGTTCAAAGACAACACACTACATTAAAGACATGTACACTTGTACATACAGTATGATGTTTCACTAATAAATATTTAAGTAGCTCGAGCAATAAATAGAAATAATGTATGTATATAAACTTACCCTTTATTAGTGGTTCTGTGACTACATTGACATCTTCCTGCGGTATCATGTCCATAAGCCGAGCAATGTCTGTGGCGAGCATGTTGTCCACCACCTCCAGTAGTTTAGGTTTCAATGTGTGGAACTTTGTGAAGTCATGGTTTGCTAGAGTCTCCTGCATCTTCTTAACATCAGGGAAATCGCCAGGGGAAATTTGTTGCTCCTTCTGAATGCGATCATAAATCTGCCCCAAGTTCTTAATGAGCTCTTTCTTCTTACCATCCTTGCCAAACATCGATGGCATTTCTTTCCTCAACTCACTGACTATGTAGGCATGCACCTTAGCAAGCCGCGCCCTCTTTATCAGATCGTTTAATTTACGTAACGCCGCATTTCGTGGCAAGGATTGCATGTCTCTAAAGAGATCTTGCTCTTCATCCTCAAATAATCTCCTATTCACATCATAACGGAGGGGTTGGTCCCAAAATGAGCCAATATACACACGGGCTACTTCTGGTGTCTGAAGGACTTTCCCAAGAGACCACATGAGAGCACCATACACTCTCATCAACTGTTGATGGTCAATCATATCAGCTTTATTGAGTACTATTCTGATTTTGTCATCGTGGCCCCTCAGAGCTTCGATACTGCGTCTGAACTCATCTGATATGTCGAGTTTGTGGGCGTCAAATAGCAGGATGATACGATCGACACGCTCTGCGAACCATTCTAACACGCCAGTGAAATCGTACCCTCTGTCAACTCTCTGCTTCTCACCGGATAGAATACCAGGTGTGTCTACTATCGATATGCCCCGGAGTACCGGTGAGGCAACGGTAGAACACTGAAATCGATTTAGGAAGGCGTTCCCAAATTTACTCAAAGGCCGGAACTGTTTCTTTGGATCGACTACAAGAGCATTGCCGGGAATAACGCCTTCTTTTTCATCGTACATAACCGCAATAAACCTATCTGTCGTTGGCTCTGGACCGATCCGTATGCCAGGAAAGTCTCTCTCTAGGAGGTATTTGATAAAAGTAGTTTTACCGGTCGAGTATTGACCTACGAGGAGTATCATCGGCTTCGCATCGAAGTCAGGCTCCTCTAGCTGTGGCGAGTGGAAGTCGTGGAACTGATAATGCTGTTCCAGTGGTAAAAGTTTTGTTCTGTATATCTTTTTTAACCCTTCCACTACATTATCAATGCTGTCCGTCTTCTCCCCTTCCTTTTTTAGCCAACTAAACATGGTTACCACAATATGTTCTCCGTTTGATTATTATTAATAACACAGACACCGATTCACTCACTGCACCACTTTTAACAACAATATTTTTGCAATTTATAAGAGAAAACCACGATCATCCTACACCGCCAATATGAAATGAATGAGACATGAAATGAGAATGACGTGAAGAGCGTGACGACCCGTGACGTGAGCGTGACGTGACGTGACATAACAATGTTGCCAATCTATGTATGTTGGTTTGCCAACATTATTATTTGAACAACATCTTGTTCCTAGAATCACACAGTCATTTCACCACAGAAAAGACGACACTAATATAAAGAAAAATTACGGTTTAACAAAACATAATCGTGAATGTACGTTTGTATGTACGTATATACTTTGATTCGAAAATCTCTATGAAGTATTTTCGCAGTAAAACTGACCAATGTCGGCTGATGAATGATTCGCATCACCTTAAATAAAAACACTTTTTATAATTTTGTGTAACCAATACATTGAATTGATCTTTATGATATTCATCATTATCGATATTATGTATATCTATCTATAGTAATATACAAATGAAAGCGTTGTTTGAAGGCTCTAATCTCCAGAACTACTAGTCGGATTTGAAGAAATCCTTTTGCATTTGGTAGCTGACTTCTATTCAATATTACGATATGACGACGAATGAAACTGTGGAATACGGCTAGTTATAAGTTGTACAATGTTATGAACATTTATATTATATATTGTTAGTACTTCTAGATGGTGCCATTTTAGTTTCGTCAAAATATAGAATAGTACTCACTCTTAATAACATAATAATCTTAAATAAAGTATTTAATCTGATTTTTTAAACATAACTTTTTTTCTGTCAAAAATATATTTTAATGTACAGACAAATCAATCTCTATATAACTTCAGTCCCTTATTCTTAGCTTCAGTCTGCCTCTACTGTCATTCGTCTTGTCATAACATATCAAGCATGTTTTACTTATGTACTAATAGAAATAAACGTGTTTTGCCGCAAATTGTTTTGAGATAAATGATATTTCTAGGAAAATTGAAATAACATTTTATTCTACAATGACGATATTTCATGACGAAATTGAAATTGAGGATTTTGAGTACGACGAAGATGACGAAATGTACTATTATCCCTGTCCTTGTGGGGATAGATTTCAAATTAGTAAGGTTAGTTTCTAATTGGATTCACGCCTGGATCATAATACAGGCATAGACACAGTTAGATAACATAAATAATCCTGTCACTATCTGTGTTAAATTTGTGGCCGAGATTTTACAATAGCTATTAGTTAATAATAAACTTCCGACAGAAAATCCATTATAAATTACTATCTGTAAGAATGTAATACCAGCCTTTCATTCAAGTACTATTGGACCTATTGACACCTAGTTTAGAGTAATTAATACATTCAGTTATCTATTTAAATATATATTATTATACTTTAGTGTTAGATAATTATGATTACTGCTTTATATCCTGTTTTTGTACAATTAGGAACTGCGCTACTTAGAACAAAGGCTATCCAATGATCGTTATGAGTTCTATACACTCATATATGTTTTTTAGTTCTATTTATAGTTATTATATAAAATAAGAATCTTTTCTTTAAATATGTAATTAGATATGTTGTTTATTTAAATAATTATCTGTTGTGAAAGTAAGATTTTTGTCTGCATAGGAAGAACTAATGGCTGGGGAAGAGGTAGCAACATGTCCTAGCTGTTCACTGGTGGTCAAAGTTATATATGATCTGGTAATATGCTTTTATTGTTTGCTAATTTTTACCTGTATCTTCATCCACCAGTTATGAACTATACTTACTGGTACTTTATGGTTACTGCCTATTTTTTACATCCCATATGGTATGTCTGTATTAAAGCTATGGTTAAAGTTAAGCTGTTAAGGTGCCAAACGAATAAACTAACTTTCACACTTATCCTACTTAGTCCAAAATGTGGGCAAGGCCTGTTAAAGTCTCACTAAATGAGAATTAATGTGATTCTGCTCTAATTAATAATCTTAAAAATATAATAAAATTATAACTACATAATGTCTGTATATGGGAGATATTTAACAAAAATTGACATTAGAGGCCTTTACAAGACAAATAGACGCCAATATAATAATTTTTAGAAATTTTGTCTGTATATTAGTTTTGGTATCACATGTTTCATTGGTTTTCCTAGTTCTGAAATCCATATGTGAAGTGGCAGGTAAAAAGCTAATTGTTTAATAAAATCTCAATTCTACTTTTTCTTTTCTCCTTTTACTATTAAGTAAATTAAGCAATTTATACTTGCATTTAAAAATAATTTTAATTAAAAATGAAACCTAATTAATGGATTTATACTAAGTATTATTAATCAACCATCACATAATGTTTTTATTTATTTATTATATTAAAATATTATTACATACATTCTTGGATCCTTAATTGCCAGTCATATACAATTTAACTATTTTTTATACTTATTTTGCAATAATGAAATTATATATGATCTTTGATATAGATGATGACAGTGTAGGGTTCTTCAAAAGGGGGGTAAAGAGGTTTCTTCAAGGTCGGCAATACACATGTAATACCTCTGGTATTGCAGGTGATCATAGACACCACACGGTAACCACTTACAATCAGGTGGGCCGTATGCTTGTCTGCCATCTCAGTGGTATAAAAAAAATTATAAATTATCTTTTTCAATAATATATTTTCAGGAAAAATTCAAAGCTGAAGCAGAAGAGTTGCATGATAATGATATTGGTGATAAAGAAGCTGTGAAGGCCTAGGCTCAGAGATGATTACCTGATTATTGGAATTCACCTGTGTGATTAAATTCACTCCTATATGAAGCTGTTTGTGTAGTGAGCATAATTGATATCATTTCAGATATGAAATGTGAGTGGAAGCAATGAGAATAGTTGAATGGAATTCAGCATCTGTGATGTTATGTGATACTAAATACAGTTCAATATATTATATTGACACAATATATTGTTTTTATTTCTTCCTTTGTCTTACATAGATATTCAATTTTTTTTTATTGTAAAAACCTGTACATTGGTGAATCTTTTGCTTTTTTTTATTATATAAGTACATTTTTAATATGGAGTAATAACAGCTTGTTTAGAATAATTAAAATATATTCACACCATACATTGGCTAATTACAGATTCCCAATTTGTATACTAACACCTTTTATATCACACATATACACCTTTTGTATCACCTTACCTTAATTACTCATTGTATACTTTATTTTAAAACTGGTGCAATATAGTACATAATCCCTATTTCTTATTTTCTCACCTTAGTACACCAAGAAAAGAATACATACTGCACAGACCCCATGTAAAAAGGAAAAAGCAAGGCAATGATGATTATTACGCCAGGAAAGCCATATTGAGTAACCACTATAATAAATATTTCGATTCCTTCAGCAGTTATGGAATCGCGTCACATTAATAACTAGTACTTACCAACGACTGCGTGACCAGGGATATAGATTATCAACTGAGATACATTTCTCGATGTCAAATATATATGTATGCCATGCTTATCGAATAAAATGTATCTTATTGCCAAGTCTTAGTGAAGTATTAATAAAAGGTCAATTGGATCGAAGTAAAACAATATAAGAGTTACAAGTGATCTATTTTACACTCCTTAAAAAATATGATAAACACAGTATTTAACTTACAAAACTATAGGTGTATATATTACTCGCTAGAGATATAAATAAATAAAATCATATTAAAAGTAAAAGAAAAACGTTTGACTAGCTATTTAGAATACCTTCGGCTTTACAGTAAGCGAAGAGCATTCTGGCAATTACAGCGACGCATAAATTATATGAAAGAAAATATATTTCTAGTAATTTAGTGTGTGATGAGCACAGGGCATATTTAGGGCAAAGGAAGTTTAGTTGGGACACTTAAGGTATGTGCTACAAAAATGTCTTTCTTTAAAAAGAAATACCAATTTTATAGTCCTAGTCCAGTTATTAATTTTCTAAGATTAATGTTCTTAAAGTCAGTATTGAAAAAAAAAAAATAGACACAGGGACTCAGGTTTTTTTTAATTATCGCTATAAACACCTTATGTTTACCAATCACTGCCGCCAGAAAGCTCATTAAAAATGTTAATAAACTTTCTAATTATTAACAAAATATGTTCTATTGCACTTTAAACTAATTAAATTTCAATAATAATTAACATACATCGAAATAACAGCCAAATCAATAATGTAATATTATTTCAATAATGGTGCTTATTCTGGCCTCTATCTACATAGTTTTATTAGTATTTTTAATTTCATCTTAGATTACATAGTAAGTAGTATCTAAGTAGGTACTAACATATCTTTAAGTAACAAATTGATAAAAAATAATTTGCCCAGAGATTAAATACAGGATTTGGTGCAATAATCTTTCACTTGAAATTTTTGGTTTTGTCATTAATAACTATGGATCAAAATAGGTAAAATTTTAATACATATTTGAGTACATGGTCTATGGTTAATTTAAATGTAATGTATATGACTATAGATATTGGTAATTATCGACCGTTACGGGTATTATGAATTCATAATAAAAATAAAAACATATATTAAGGATTATTTATAGTATAGATATAAAACCACTTATCTACAAATATTAAATCATAATTGTAAAATAGATTATAAAATATTTTAATAATAAAAACCGCAAACTATTTGACAGGAAACCGCGATATTATAGTAGAACTAACTATCGGGAGTCATACTATACATATATGACTCACGATAGCCATATCAACTAAACTCAAGTGTTTATTTCGGGGGTTAAAAAAAAAAGTACTATATAGACTTCAAGTTATTTTTCCTAAATTTTACCGTAAAATATGAAATATTCAAAATTCAAAATTCCACTAAATACCAACAATCACCAATAGAAACATTGTTAAATAGATATACAATCAAATAGGTGTATAACACAGTTAAAATATAAAACAATCTACAATTGACTGTGCCTTCGGAACCATACAGTATTGTCGTTCACACGTCTCGTGAGGAGATAAAAAAAAATCTGTTTTACTCAACTCATAATACGATTCATTTTGTATTACACGTCGATGAAAGTACTATTTCGTTAATATTATGTCCTCAGCACAAGATGTATATTAAATTCCGCGGATTATATTAAGTAGTTGACGGTTTATGTAAAACAGATTTCTTTAACTATCTAGTAAACAATTTATAAGTTTCCCATCCAGCAGTCAACTTGAAGTTTTTACATCAATTTTTTATAATATTATGTATACTTAATATTAAGTATGCAAGTTAATATATTTGGAATATTTAGAACAATGCTATTTATTGAGATCATAACTAGGTAAAATACTATGTTATACATATGTTAAATTAATGCTCTTAAATAATTTAAGAGTCCATTTTAGATTTATTTCTTCATTCTTCAATCAATATATTTTATGGGGTTTGCCTATTTATTATGTAATTCAACTATTGTTTTTATATTTTTTTATATCTGCTATGCCTTTTGAATACATAATATATTACTGAACTTAACCTACCGAATCGATTTTGATAAAATTTCTATGGGACCAATCTGAAAGTATATCCCTTCAGATAAAAAAAAAAGAATTTTAAAAATCAGTTTATAAGTGGTGTTGTAAACATAAAACATAAAAAACAAACAAACATAAAAAAATACTAACGAATTAGATACCTTTTCCAGTTTTTGAAGCAACAATAAAATTTTGAATATTGCAACATTATGGATAAATCCCTAAATACTTCTAAGTACTTTCCAACAGATAGGCCTGGCCAACTTGCTATAGTACAAAAAACTAAGCCAGAAGGTCACAGTAAAAAAAAAAAATGATTATTTAAATTCTACATGAATTAAATAATAATAAATAATATTCGATACTACTACTATTGTTAATAAATTTTTATATCAAGTAAAAATAATTACTTCGTACTTATCTATATGTATTAATTATTCACATAAAATGGATTTATCAAAATATGTATTAATTTACAACTAGACAAGCGTAAAGCGAAGCACAAATAAACAATGGAATGAATGGGCATAAAGGCCAAAAGCTAATTCCACACATAATTTAAAAACTAAATAATTGGCAAGTAAAATATTATTGTAATTTTAGTTACATATCGTAACAAATTTTTTTTTTTTTATCATAAAAAAATTAAAATTTTATCAATTTCTATTTGATTTGCCAAAAGCTGAATATGAATTTAACGAATTTAGAATTTGTAAAAAAGATTGTCACATATTTGTATTTTTTTTTTAATTCTAAATACAAAAAATTGCTTTGTTGTAATAATTTATAATTTCTTATTAATACTTGTAGATGTAGGTACAGTATGAGTTTGCTAACATGCATTTTTTATTAGTAAGATATTTAGTGTGTAACCGTAGGTGTATTATACATTATACAGATTTTAAAGTATGCTGTGATTAATGTAATACAATTATTGTAATCGAAAAGAACATGGGACAAAACTCGGAAGCTATACCTCAAGAAAACAACACTAGTTCATTATTAAGTATCAGACCATAGAGGCTACAGATTATGGGGTATCACCATAACCATTAGATTATTAGAAATTATTTTATATATTATAAGATATATCATGAATTATGAGATCGAGCTTATATCAAAAAGCTATTCTCCATTTTTGCTACAATCGACTATCCAAACGATTTTTTCGTATCACAAAGTATTGAATCTTAAGCGTTTTGGTACTTCGAGCCGGATCAAATAATGTTCTTAGGCAATTATGTTTAATTTTTTTTTTTTACTAGTAACAAATATACATACTTTTATAACAATGGAATGTGCATAAGAATATTAAAATTCTGAAGGTAAATTTCAATGTTCAAATCATCTGAAGGACTGTTTAAGACTTGTTAAGATCGTTTCTGCTATTAAATGTAGAGTTAGGTGTGCAAAGTTCTAGAATAATTTCATGGAATAATCAGTTTAGAGTTCCAATTTTTTTACTTACTACTCATAATCATACACGTCATCGAAGTACAATGTTTATACTTTTCAAATTGTCATTTTTATAATGTACTCGTATGTTACATATTTTTTTACTTTGCAACAATTTTAAACTTACATTTACACTCGTGATTGAAACTACTATTATTATAGATGTTTGCTACTCACTCATACAACTTTTCGTTTCATTGTATCGATATTTGCCTAAGTAGTGTTTTGCCAATTCTAATTTTCATTCTAAACTCTTACATCACAGTCCCTTTTGAGTCTCAATATTTTAATATAATCAATACGATGTGTAATAGACTCAACATATACTAGATTGCAACTGAAATAGAATAACAATCTGAGGGCCTACCATAAAACGTTTTCCGAAATATCGGAGCCAAACGAAAAACAAATTTGAAGCTAAAATTACATAATACATGCCGTTTGGGAATATTTAAAATGTTAAAATATTGTTTCTTTGGACTTTTACGATAGGATGTATGACGAACGAAATGTTCAACTCCATTTATTGATCCAATTTTGGTATAAACATAAACACGAAATTGAGTCCGAAATTTCGGAATTTCATTTCATGGTAGGCCCGCTGAACCTCATCAAATAATTTATCAGATTATGTTTTTCACAAATAATCACAATAAACAATATTTTCATATTTCGTTCCTTGTTATTTTTGATTTGTTTTATCAAAAATTACTTATGTTTGTGAAAAAGATAAAATATAAACTATTAAGTATATATATTTTTTGGCTAGTTGGTTTCATTTTTCGTATTAGCCATGGTTAATATCAGAGCAAAACATATCATTTATATAAATGATATGATATATGATAAAACTGAATAACTTTTTATGTTACATATATATGTAACATAAAAAGTTATTCAGTTTTATCACTTACCTTAAGGTTGTCTTGAAAAGATTGCTCTCAGCAATAAGACCGCCTTACTGTACTTATACAATTGTATCGTTATGTTTGTAAATTGTCTTGTTTATTTCCTATATTGTATAATGCAAATAAAGTATACTCATTCATATTATCATGACTGATAAGAAAAAATTGCTATAAGAGTTTAAGTCTGTTTTTTTTTTCAGATTCATATCAAATTGTAGCTAGAGACTAGACTGTTACTCTATTATGTACATAACAACACAAAAAATCTGTACGTCAATTCGTCAATTTTCCAAAGTTTTTTTTTAAAGACAGGCGGATTTTCTATAAAAAAAAAAAATAATTAAAACCATCTATTAATACTTTTTTCCAATAGATAAAATATCAGATCTTATGTTAACTTTATAACCAGGCAGTGATACAATCCGTTCTATCACAATCGACTACCATAAGGCTACTTCATCATTAGTCAACGAGAATTGTTCTTTTTGGTTATTTTGTTCAAATGTTCATGTCATGATTATGTTTAATACAATGCAATACCTACTAGGGCCTGTATATACATAATAGGAATTTCTCGAAAAACATCTATTTCTACAAACATTATTCAATCCTTTAAAATTAGCAAAGTAAAATGTCCTAAACTATTTAGATGGACTTCCTTCTAAAGATAGTATATAAATAAATCTTTCACGCAAAGCAAGAAATAAATTGATTTTTTTAATTTCTTTTAACATATATATAGGCTTTGCATAAAGGATTTCCTGAAATTCTTATAACGTGTTTAATATTCTGCTTTATGTATATGAAAATAAGAAATATTTTACGTTAATAAAAGGTTTTAGAAAAATTAACGTTTGTAGAAACAGTTGTACGTCACTTATTCAGGCTTTCTAACAATCAACGCGTGAAATACTTAATGCATAAAAAATTATAAAGAATAGGTCTCATAAAAATCAGATGATGCCGTAAAAACTGCATTGTATTATGCATCTTCTGTGCATTGTTCACAAAAGCGTGAAATTTATAACTAAACTCAATTTAACAATTATTGATGTCACTCTCTTTCAAATTGAAATTTGGCGCCGAAGACAGAGACAAAACACTTCAATAGCTAATACAGCTTTATTAGATGTTTTTATAAACATGGAGGTGATGTTAAGCGTCTGTAAAAGTTATCTGATTGCTTCTATTCGATAAGGCCACCTTTAATAAACCACATTCTTTCAAAATATTCCCTACTTATTATTTTCAGTCCGCATTAAACTTTTCTTCCTTCCCAAATTCTTTTTAATCCCAAATAGTACATTTACGTCAAATTCATTGGTTGAGTCGTTAAGGCGCCAAATAACAAACTTACTTTCACAAGAATAAAGTGACATAAGCAGCATCTCTAATTTATAAGAGACCTTGTGTGCTCACATTTGAGTACTTGTAGTGAGTTTACAGCGATGCAAGCGCTGTATTCCCCTACGCAGTCCGGGGCAGCACTGGTGGCGCGGCGGTGGCGGTGGACAGAGCGGGCGGGGGGGACGTCGGCGTGGGCGTGTGGATGTTGAAGTGTCGCACAGCCGCTTCAAGCGCTACATTGTTCCCACTGAAGTATGCTGACACCGCGTTGTGGAATAGCAGCAGCTGTTTATTCATCACTTTAACCTGTTTACATTTTATTTTTTAAGCTGAATATTATATATATATATATATATATATATATATATATATATATATATATATATATATATATATATATATATATATATATATATATATATATATATATATATTAGGCTTTAGAAATGTTTTAAGAGGGATGCTGCTGCCCATCCCTCGCCCTATATATATATAACGGACATTTATTTTTAAAGACTGATTGAAAGTCAATCAACATTGTCACAAAAAAAAATTATTTCAACTGTTGCAAAACAAAACTATTTTGATTTAAAAACTGTATTATTGAATCAATTTGGATAAAATTTCTTTCAGATAAAAAAAATCAAGACGGTTTACAAGTGACGGGGTTATGAGGTAATAAACATAAAATATACCGATAACGCAAGTTAGGTCACCATTCTATCAACATTCATATGAAATCCTCACCTATCATCTCTTATCAGTATGCTAGTGTACGCAATTCCATTTTCATCCATTTAAAAATGGATTACTATGGGTAGAAACTCTGTAAGGTATTTTGTACAACACTTACTCTATTTTCATGTAATAACTTGAGTTTCACTGCGGAATCGTCGCGGAGTCGCTCGTAATGCCGCCGGTGTCGCTCAATGTTGCCAAGCAACAACTCGGGAGGGTTGCCACCACTTGCTTCCAGTTCACTACGGTACGCATCATATTCAACCCTGGAAAAATAAAAAAAATAATTATTAAGAAAATAAATATGTACTGCGCAGATGAGCGACTTTTTCCAGTGGATAGAATTTCCCTCTATGTTCGTCTCGTCTATTCAGACTAAGTCGGACAATCCGTGCCCTTAGAGTAGGGGAAAACCTCAAAATAAAGGGACGAAATGATTGTTAGTAATAGAGTACAACAGACCCATTGCTAAAAATAAATGTTAACAGGTTTACCTCCTCCTGAAAGAAAATCATCGTAGTTAACACTTTGCTAACCGGTGACGAGTAAACTCTTGTCTTATGTTTAATTGAATTTTGTAATAAAGAATATTTAATTATAAATTTAATTTATTATATTAATTATGATATTTATATGCATGTAATCTGTAGTCAATGTTGTATACGCCTGCTATAGGTATGCATATCAGCATACTACACAATTTTTTTTATACTGTTGGTGTGCGTACGTACATATACGTACGAACACCAACAATATACAAAAAAAAAAAACTAATTCGTAATAAATAAATAAACTCGTCATTGCACTACCATGTAGGTACGCCCTCCTACCACGATGGGCAAAACTTATTTTTTTTTATATTTGTTACCTTATAACTTCGTCAGTTATAAACCAATTTGTAGACTTCTTTTTTATCTCAAAGTATATATTTATAGATTGATGCGAGTGAACAGCTTTATGCTTAACGTTGTTATCTTGTCAAGTACTAATTTAATCTCTGTTTATCCGTGCGAAGCCGGTTGTGGTACGCTAGTTAAATTATAGAAGAGTTCATAGCGGATCTGTACTAACCTCGCCGCTTCATACTGTCGTATGGTGAGCAACGTATCCTCTATAGTCTTGTTGGTGAGTGTGTTCAACGAGTTGTTGAAGAAATGAAGTGCCGCCAGCAGCGTCTCGCCGTTACGCGTCAGGGAACGCTGTGTATCCGCGTTGTATAAGAACCTGGAAGTTATTATTATTTTTTTAAATAAAATGTTGCTATTAATATAATAAATGCGAAAGTGTATAACGATAGATGAACGTTTGTTACTCTTTCATTTAATAGTTACTGTGAAGAAAGGATTTGAATGAAATTTGGTACTTGGGTAGGTCATAACCTACCTTAGTAAATAGGATACTACATATTGATTCATTTAGGCGAAACTGCGGGATATAGTTATATCTAAACGATAATAGTTTGAAAAATTTACTATTCGATAGCTCATAGTAAAGAGATGTTGATATGTATACCATCAGTTTGAGCTTACTTATTTTTTATTTCGATTCTCCCAAACACATAAAACATCGTTATCTTTTTATTTTAAAAACGATGAAATCAAAAAGTAGTTACTTTTAATATAAATTCTCAATATATTGATATAAAATTTATTTTTTTGAGTAACATTCTTTTTGAGTGATATTATTATTTCTACCTTATATAATTATATCTAGTAACATATATTTATTTATGTTTGACAAAATAATAACATTTAAAATTAAATTACAGATCTAAATACGTATTTACGAATTTCATACAAACATTTGTGAGGAACTGGTGGCCATACCGTACTGGCCTGCACTTTCTTGTCAATTATTGTACTATACTTTTTATAACATTTAAATGTAAGAGATAATTAACAGACAAAAAATATCTATAATTTCAATTTCAAAGTGTTGACAGTTAACTGTTGATTCTGGACGTGTTTACTCTTATTAGAAACAAAGGAAATTATAAATAATATATTTAACAATAAATGGTACTGCTCATGTCTATAGGCAACGGTTACCACTTTCCATCAAGTGGGCCGTCAGGTTGTTTGCCATTCTAAGTTGTATAAAAAAAAAAAAAGAATTACTGGTTCTGTAGCTCAGGCGATTTCTGGGCGAGCTCCGCGAACGCTTCGCCGAGCGCGCGCTGCGTGTGCCCGGCGGCTGTCAGCTGCTGTGTCAGCGCTGAACTCAGCCGTAATATGCCGTTGTACTTGCGCTGCGTCTCGCGGAGCATTTCGATTTGCGCTTCCAGTTCTGGCAATACAGAAGACCAGAAATATATATGAGTAGATATATATGAGGCTACAATGACCGTTTACCGTCAGACGGGCTGTAATTCTTGTTTGCCACCTTTGTGGTATAAAAAACAAATACTTTTACTCTCCTTTAATAACAACACAACAATACCCAATAGCGGGCTGTTGAATGGTTGTCGTTTTTTATAACACAGGAGGCAAACAAGCATGAGGATCATCTGATGGTAAGTGACTAACGCCACACATGAACACCCACAACACCCGAGGAATAGCAGGTGTGTTGCTGGCCTTTTAAAAAGGAATATGTTCTTTTTTTGTAGGTTACAATGTCGTATTGGTGCAGTTGTTATTTTAAAAAGGGAGGCATTAAAATTTATAGTCTCCATTTCAAGGAGTGCTGTACTAGTGGAACAGATTTTTTATCCCAGGAACAGGATGAAAAATGATGAAAAATTGCTTTACTTAGTAACATTAACCAGTTGGATATGCCATGTTCGCGTGAATTTACTGAATAACATCTGAGTCCTCAGGAATGGCAACGCATGGGGGGTATCATGGGCGAAACAGTATACTATTATGTCCATATAGCTCATGTTTCGAGTTACCACTTTCCATTGTTGCCATTCTAAGTTGTATAAAAAAAAAAAATTGGGAATAACCTTAGATTTCAGCCCTTGTTACCAAGAGATTTGGCAAGTAAGTTAATAATAGGTTAATATCTTCCTTAAAAGGAAAAAGTGAGTTACGTTGAATAGTGGAATATAAAAGGGTTGTTACGGTATTTAGACCTTCAAGGGAATATGTAAACTTACCAGTATCAACTGTCCTTGAGCTCTTGCCCAGTTTCTCGTACAGGATCTGCTTAGTGCACTTGTAAGTGGAGACACTCCAGTTACGCAATGACTCCAACTTAGATGAACCAGCCCGCAGCAGAGTACTCGTTCCAGCGCCGCCATTTTGAGAAACATCGGGTGGTGCTGTTGGATGGAATTTTTTAGATTTCATTATTTAAATTAATTGAAGTATTTTGTGTTAATTTAGGATATGGACTAATTTTCTTCTAATCTATCAGGCGTTTAAGCATAAGTGGGCATCAAGCATCTAGATAGATAGACATTTATTACTTTAACACACCATACATGAATGGCAAACAGAGCACAGATAACAAAACTTATAATAAAACTAATAGTAAAATGTAATAGTATATATATAAGCATATACCTCAACATCTTTATAAATTATATCTTTTACAATATTAATAAAATTTCAACCAATAAAACATGCTTATCATATGAAAATATTTATTTACTTATTTAAACTTAATTATTTATTTAAATTTAATATACCATGTGGATAAATTTGATAGACAGACAGACCAGAAAATTATTATATGAATTATTGCATGTATACAATATTCAATGTGTATATATACTAGCGACCTGCCCCGGCTTCGCATGGGTGTACATTCTATCACACCACATTAGAAATCTCTAAAATTATTAGTATTTCTCTACCATATTATGCATGTATTATACATATAAACCTTCCTCTTGAATCACTCTATCTATTAAAAAAAAAAACCCACTTCAAAATCCATTGCATAGTTTTAAAGATTTAAGCATACATAGGGACGGACAGACAGTAACTTTGTTTTATACTATATAGTGATGTGTCTATCTGCCATCAGCCTTTTTACTGGCTATAATATTAATATTAATGAAAACTTACCCATAAGAATATTTAATTTTTTTCTGTAATATTTTATTGGACTCGGTAATATTTCCTTGTATGTGTCTATGTATATATTTATGGAAGTATATACATGGCATACAAGTGCTATCTGTTCTCCATTAATCAAAAGTTGTCTGTAAGAGATGCCCTAGTGATAAGACTGCTTTTAACTTCCTGTACCTTTCTGTATATATTTTAATTTGTACTTTATGTTACTGTATTAAACTTAAATTTTCAGGTTGTCATTGTATATTTTTATGTTTCCGGTGCAAAAAAGAGTTAAATAAATAAATAAATAAATAAAAAATTTGTAATAACCCATTATATCACATTTACGCTTCTATCATCTAATAAAAAGTTCTGAATTTAACTTTAGAAGTATATAAATAAATATAATCAATATTATTTGTTGTATATAAATAGTCAATCATTAATCAACTAAGAGATAATAAAAATTGTTTGCATTGCTATTGCATGATGTGAGCAGTTGTTAGTATGAGTGTTACTATAGTTATAATTATATTTTTTATGAAACATGGAATGGTAAACAATGTGACAGCACACTTGATGGAAAATAGTAATAACCACTTATAGTCAAGAATACAGTACAAAGAAAAAAAAAATACAGACAAGACATAAATTTTTTATTAAAGTAAATGTAATTGCAAGTTTTTTTTTTTTATATTAATATAAATTATTTTATGATCCTATTGCTCTATTTGGAATGTAATTTAAGGTCAAATAAAATAATAAATGCAAGAAACTTAAATGTTGCTTTTTTCTAATAAAATAAAATTAAAGATAAAACTGCAATATTTGTATTCTGTTCTAATTTATCATTATATATTTTTATATGTGACATGCCATTATTATTATATTATTACAATATATAACCCCTCATGTATTGCCATTCTTGAAGTAGTTCTGCTGTTAATAATAATAGAAAATAAAGAATATTAATTTCTTATTATTTATTTCCACTAATATTATTGTACTAACTAGAAACCATTAACAAATGATATCAACAAACTATTTGTGAACTATACAAACCATAGGCAGGAGGAAAAGGCATAGATCGAGAGGTCGGGAACTTTGCCTCCGTCCCTGAGGTGATGGAGTCGCTGGACTCCCTAATTGGTGGTGTATCCTTTAACATCTCATGGATGCTTCTTTCCGATTGCCTAGAAAGATTGATTTTTTTTATCGATAATTTGTCTATTGACTATGAAACTATATAAATGATCCGTCTAATGTGTCTAGATGTTTATCTTTTATGGACATCAAGGTCTTTTCTATAAAGAAATTCAGTTTGATACTGTTAATTATTTACCGCACTGAACATGATTGTATTAATTTGTAAAACTATGACTCACCATTTAGACATATCGCCGGTTTTTTCTTCACAGCAGTCAAGTAAATACAAATAATATTTTGCAGTTATTAATTTTCAGTGTAAGGAAAGAACTAACATTTTCCAATTGGGAAATTCGGAAAATTATTTGTCGAATGTCGATACACAAGTAAGCAAATCGAAACTCGAAAGCTGTTTGACATGACAATGACTTTCTTTTTGACATTGACAGCGGCGCTTTCGTCCCGAAGTGGTTCCGAAATGTACGTTTGTAACATAGATTAAGGATAGTGCCAGCTATATACTGTGAGTATTTATTTGTTTTATTCTTTATTACACAATAAAACTTTGTACAAGCGGTGAACTTAATGCCATATGATATTCTCTACCAGCTAACCATTAGGTGAAAATAGAAAGCGTATAGAAGGGCAGATGGTACATGGTTATACTAATATATATATATATTGAGTAACTTGTAACTAGAGTTGGTTTTGTTGATTCAACAAAAACATGCTGACTGGGTGTTCTGCGTAGATTTAGTAAAAGAATAGGACATAAATCCGGAATGGTGTAATGGGGTTACGAGAAGGAGATTGTGAGATGACGAAAGATTACAGGAATGGGTGTCTTTGAAGAACTGAAATCTACCTTTCAAATAAGTGGGAGAAGAAGGATCATTGATGATAGAGAACAGTGTGCATAGGATACGTAAGTCTTTACGGTTGCGAATGGTCAACCAATTGAGTTATGAGCGAAAATTGGAAATGTGGTCACGTCAGTTCTTGCGGTCTTATAAAATATGTAACAACCGCTGTAAACGTTTTGGTCCACTTATCGTACAATAAATTAGGGAAAAAGTTGGTTACGTGTCGTATCAAAATGTAAAAAAAGTAATCGAGAATCGTAGTGAGTGGTAAGAGCTCCATTGACAAGAGCGTAATTCTTAAATAAGAACCTAATATTTTAAGCATACGAGATTATAGGTTGACGGAAACACGTCTCAGGAAAGGCATTCCAAACTGTTACGGTACGGTTCACGTTAGAGTTGGTAAACTTACTTGTACGCGAGCGCGGGAAGTTTACCGTGTATGAATGATGTACTTGTACAGTTATTGGATCATCAATCGACGTGATACAATATTGGAAAAGGGAATGTGGATTAAGGGAAAGTTCTTCTAAGCATTCCCCATAGAACAAGCAGTAGAAGACTCTGAGGGAGGCTACATCTATATGTAGTCTTAGTGGTTATAATTAATTATAATTAAAAATTGAATAAAATTAATTCATACGTAATTCGTAAAATAAATAAAACATGTAGTGATAGGACTAAGGCGCCCCTAAAATAGGTATTTACATAATTTTACTGTTTTTAGAAAAGTTTACTAAATAAAAAATAACCATTTTCTTTTAAATTCAGATATATTTTCAATTTATAGGTAGGTGCTTACATAAGCACCTATATTACATTTTAAATGTACAATACTTAAAGCTGACGGAGGGATTATGCAGGTTTTTTCTTTCATTAAATTACATTTTTTTATGTCTACTTACTAATTTAAAATTAATAAGTGCCATTCATGATAACAGAAAGTGGTGTAGGTACTTATAGATAGATACCTAATACATAAAAGTGCTGTACTTTCGCTGGTTAGTTATTATTCGCTTTTTAGGTATTCCAGGAGCGATTTATCGATACCTAGTGGAAATTATTAGAAATTTAGTTTATGATGGCCCATAAAACTGTAAAACCGTAAAAGTATCAAATTAAAATATTAGGATTAAATATAAATTTAGAAAAATGGTGCATCAGGCTCGCCCTCAATATCGCCACACTTATGAATCGTTACGATAATCGCTATATTAATATGTAGGTACAGCTGTCGATTGTTGCTAGCGACTATAGTTTTGTTTCATTGGAATACAATGAAAAAGTATTCAAGTTTTGTTGAAATTATCACTGTAAGTTTCTTTAAACGAATTCAATGAATTAATCGGTTTAGATATAATTGCTGGACATTAGTTCAGCAGATTGTCTTATGTTTGGGTCATTTATTAATTTGTACATAATAACATGACACTACAGTAGTTTTTAATTTTTTAAGCGCTTTTAATCATCGAAGTTCCTGATATTCGACTAGTTGTCGAAATCTCCAGAAAATTCAAACTGAGAAATTTGAGTTATTGGCGACTAGTCAAAGGTGTGTAAAACAACAAATGGTAAACATGAGTTCTCAAATCTCTTAGAAATTATATGATTTTGTAAGGCACCCATATATTTACTCTTTAGGCAGCTCAGTTAATTGATATTGTATTAATGCATATTTTGTATCGTGCCTACTGTGACTGATTTGTACCTACACATTATGAGATAAATATATCTAATATCTACTTACATACATTTCACACGAATTATATCTATTCTAATATAATTCTATCTTTCAATTTATAATTAATTAAAGTATAAACCTTCCACTAGGGAACTCTGATGCTCGATATTCAATTATCTTCAAAGGGATCACACACCTATTTATTTTTGAACAATTTTACTAAGCTTATAAATAAAATTAGTATCCCAAGTTTAAATAATTATGAGTAAAATGTTTAATTTTATTTTAGAGCACTGATATAAGTGTAAATGTATTAAGTTGAATTCGCACCAGTGTCAGTGTCCTTTCATATATCAAGACGAATAACTAAAATATTCGATAACAACTTTGGTGTAATAAATTGTGTATCCTGTAGAGGTTACATCTGAAAGGTCTTAATTATTTTAATTATTGATAGAAATACAGAAAATAATAATAATAAATAAGGACCGTTTCACACGACAACGTTTATTGATTAAATGTATGAATTTTGTTGTGCTTTTGCTATATTTGTATTTTAAAGTATTATTTGAAAGCTGTTTACTATTTTCGAACATTGTATAAGATTTCTTACATAACACGTTAATACAAACAGGATGTACTTAGATATTAACTATAGTTTTGTGCTGCACCACTGCTCGAACTGTGTCGTATGAAAGAGTCCTGAAAATACATATAATTGGTTATTTGATTAGAATTATTTTGTTTAATTCCACTACCATTAGTATGTGTAAATAGCCTAACTATTCGACGTCCAAACTAATGGTTAACACTGGGCTTCGAGCAGGGATCTGGTGATTTGTCTGAAAATGTCTTGTTAAGAGGTAAAACATGTGTCTCAGAACGTACGTGGACGAAATGGCAGTTGGAAATTAATGACATTGAAATGTCAAAGTTAATGACATTAACATTGAAAGATGTGGAATCCTTGGTATATTGTTACCTTGTAATTGTTACTTTTTGGCTGATGGCTTTCGCCAAAGTCACAATAAATGAAAAAAAAAATCCTTGGTATTAATAGTAGTAGTCAATCTTCGAGTGTTGGCAGTCACCAAACATTAATGGTAGCGAAATTAAACAAAATAATTTTAACCAAATAAGACCTAGTTCAGTAAAATATATATTTATAATATCTGTTTTAGTTTTTAGAGTTTTAATTAGATACTATCTATTATGAGATTTTATTTTTAACTTATCACATAGATAATATAAAAATATCATGTACAATTGTTGGTAACATTGGATATAAATTTGACATAACTCGTAAAATATATTCGCTACATTTGGTATCGAAATATTATGCTATAAAATACTTATTGATACTGAATATGTGATTATGTATATCCATATGTACATAGTTATAATAAGTACTTATTTAGTATAGAAATATTTTTCCTTTAGCCAATATATACAAATATAAACTAGATAATGTTTCTAGTGCATTACATGTCATGAGTGAATTAAAAAAAAACAACAATTAAAGAGAGCGTCATACTTGGTCATTCTCTAGTAGTTTTTCTACTCTAGGCCATAGCTATGGTTTGGTAGGAAGAAGGTGGATAAGCATAAAGGTTTAAAATAAAAAAAAAATTAACGAGTTCGAAGAGCATTAACTGTTAAATGATTCAACGACCATACGACATGATAAATTATCTACTAGAGGAGAAGTATATAGGAAGAGAATGGATGAGATGAAGAGGGTGCTGCTCCTTCTATCAGTATTTGGGTACGCTATTATCTTCTTTCAAGATTACAATCAAAATGAATAGAAGATAAAATAATGAGTGCAGATCAGGGAGGTTTAAATGTCGATCTAATACGAATCACAATAGAACTTGTTTTGCATAACTCATCGAGTTTAATAGGCTTATCGCGTTGAGGACTAATACATTTACATCGACAAGTTATACAAAGCAAACCTATTACGATTCGTGTACGACAGAATTTTCACCACCCCTCAGTTTGTGTGACAAATTAAATTTCCATTGAACTCTACCGTTACTTAATAGTAAATACGAAATGAGTTATTTATAATTTATTCACAAAGCGCAAATCGGGAATGAACATTTTTAAGCAATTACGCGTATCTCTCATAAGGATTTAATAGCGTGTAATTCCTACAAATTACAGAATTATGCGTAAAAAATTGCGCAGTGAATTACATGATTGCGTAAAAATATTCAACACAAACTTAAATTAATATTAAATGCTTAAATTGTACAGATTAAGAATGGACTAGTGATTCACAGTGCTATATATACTGCATGCATCCTATTACAGTAATGATTTTACATAATTACACACAACAACATTTTTACTTATATAGTACTATAATTGTATACAACAACTTATTTAGTAAATAGAATATACTAGCACAGTCTAAAACATTGTTCCTCAACCGGGAGGTCGCGATATTTGGGGCTTGTTTGAAAAATAATAAGACCACGAAAGATTCCTATAACCGACTATTAATTATATTAATAATATTATAATTTTATAGTGACGGGATCGCAAGACTTTTTACTTAACTTTTTCGTAACATAAAAATAGTTGAGAAACAATGGTCTAAAAATATAAGTCATGGGATCTTTAAAAAATATCTACAAAACTGAATTAATCTTCTCTCAGACTTTTATCTGTGGTCCAATATTAGGTTAATTGTAATATGCGTTTCAGGACTAATTCCTTGAGGTACTTTGGATTATTGTAGTCAATACAAGCTACGATAAATCGGTATGCTTGCAATGCTAGATCGGTCTTTTAATGATCAATCGTAATATAATATAGGTACATACGTATTTATATAAAAAATTGTATATTTTTGTATCATTTACAGAAATAAGCGAAAAAGGCGCAATAAAAAAGTTTACTGTGATTGGTTTTATATTTTTTTCCGCAATCAAGGAATTCTTCCGTGAAACGCAATTGGCGATTGAGTACGGTTCGTCATGAAATGTAGAGCTTGCATGGTGATATTATAAAATTTATAAAACTTTTTAAACTTATATTCTAATTTATAATACAAACATATATATATATATATATATATATATATATATATATATATATATATATATATATATATATATATATATATATATATATATATATCGCATCTGTAAACAATGCAGATGTAACTCCATTTAAAATGTAACAGGAATATTGAGATTCAACAATTTTATTCTAAAATTCTGAATAAAAAAATATTCGACTCCAATATAGTAATAAACAATAATATAAAATACAATAATGGTACATAGATACTTTGTCATGAATCTTCTCATAATCATAGAATTAATTCTAAAAGTTCGAACAGCTGAGATCGAACTAAAACGATTTTTGTTCTTTATAACCTATTTTTTTTGTAATTAGAAATGAGTTTATAGCTAGTTTATAACCTATTAGTACTACCCGTACTAATCACAATGTATATATATGTATATAGGGATAAAGAGGTTTCTTCAGGGTCGGCAACGCGCGTGTATAGCCTGGAATTGCAGGCGTTCATAGACTACGGTAACCGCTTACCATTAGATAGGCCATATGCTTGTTGGCCACGTCAGTGTTATATAAAAAAAAAGGTTCTTATTCTTATAGCACAGTCTATGTGCTAATATGATAGTCATATACTTTTTTTTTAATAAGTTATTGTTTTTATATTGTTATAAATGGTTACCGTAACCTGTAAACAGTAGGTGTTATATGTTTGTTGTTACCCTATATACACATTTTTATCCAATTTTAAAAACATGCTTTGTCTTCACATAAGAGATTGCAGGTAACTTAATGCATAATTTGAGAAACTAGCTAAATAACGATCACTTTGAACAATTGAGTACTTTAACTGAAGAAGGAAAGCAGTTTTTCTACAACTTTCGAATAGAAGAATCCAGAAGTCACCAGTGTTCCGCACTGAAGATTTAAAACTTTCGCATCACAATCCTGGGTCAGTCATCTAAAAGATGACCTTGGGGGCACGCAGCCGGCAGAGGGCGTAGTGGGCGCATCTCAGCACCGGAGCTATCGCTGACCACGACTGTATCCTGAGCACAGCATGAGTTCTTCACAGTTAGAGATTCGCTTGAAGTTTTGCGACTCTGTTGACAATAAGAACTCATAAAAATGTTAGGAATGCATAAGAATTTTTTCTCCAATTGGTTTTATTATTGCAAATCATACATCTTCATTTGATTGTATATTTTTGGAACATTATATTTTGTGATACTTTTATGGATTCTTGTGAACTAATTATAACGTTAATGTTATAAAATTAATAAATTACTAACTTAGATATTAATTTTGTTAACATTAAAGTTAGAAAACTGCATACAGTAGACATAAAAACTACTAGAACGAATAGTCTGACTGCGCTAATATGGTACGCCTTTCCAAAATTCAAAGAATAAAAAATATATGAGTAAAATATTTATAAAGTATGTAATACTCCTTGGTCGGACCGATACTGAAGACATTTCCTCACAGAGTATATGGTCACAGACATAGAAGTAAAAAATTGAAGCCATGTTAATGTAGACAATCTACGAGTATAGTGCTGTTCATGCCTAACATATCATCATCGTTATATCAGACTTTAACTGCCCACTTCTGAACATAAGCCTCACCCTTAGGGGTTTTGCCAGTAGTTGCCACATTTGGCAGGGGGATTGGCAACCGCAGTTAGACTTTAGAGAAGTTTTAAGAGGAACGCTGCTGCCCATCTCTCGTCCTCCCTTAGTCGCCTATTATGACATCCACGAGAAAGAAAGAGGTAGCCTATTCTATGCCAATACCGCATGCCTAAGTTCATGCCTATAGCTGGCCATTTACCACTTGCCAGCAAGTAGGCCGTGAACTTGTTTGTCATTTAAGGTATCATAAAATAAATACTCACCCGCTTGAAGCAATGCGCGATACTATGATAGATACTCCATCGCTGCCGCATCAGTACATACAGTATTGGATCGAGGACGTAGTTCAACAGCATCAGTATGTCAGAGAGCGCGGACAACGACTGGAGTTTGTGCCAGTGTGCGGGGCCGAGCGCCAGGTATAGGGCTGAGGTGACCTGAAAAAATTAACAGAATTGAAGGTATGTGGTACAATGTTCTTTTTAATGGGATCAAAATGAAATGGTAATCCCGCCTGTGCTATCGGCATACACTGCAGAAGATGAAGTTAAGAGACTTTGTACAAAAGTCGATTGCTTGAGTACCTCTGTCCCATGCGTGTTTCTACCGTGAAGCAGTTGTGTTTGCATGGCTGTGTTTCGGTTTGAAGGGTGGGATATGGCGTGAATTTACAGGGTACAGAGGAATAACACCTGAGTCCTCAGGAATGGCAACGCATGGGGGGTATCATGGGCGAAACAGTATACTCTGTTATGTCAGATGGGCCGTCAGCTTGTCTGCTATTCTAAGTTGTATAAAAAAAAGTTAAATTATGGTGAATTTACTAGAAATTAACTACAGTGTTTTTTTTAATTGGTGAAAATGGCATGTTAACCCCGCCTGTGCTACCGGTATACACTGGCGGGGTACTTGTGAGAGGTAATAGGTGTGTGTGAAAAAGTAGGTCAGTTAGCCCATAGTGACGAATTCAATGATAAATTAGTCACGATAGTTTCTAGGGGGAACGGCGTGGAGGTCGATCTAATAGAGTATATTGATAGCAATGGGGACTAATCTCCCTATTACTAACTATCCCTTTTCCCCAACCACGGTGGTTACCAGAAGGAACTTGACTGTTTGTTCCATTTACAACCTCCATTTTAATATCACAATTACCAACAATTCATTCCCTCTCGTGGTAATTTTTTTTGTGGGTGATAATGGGATGGTAACCTCGCTTGCGCTTGATGATAAAGGAGGATGAAAGCAGGTCAGTTGGTCCGTCGTGATGAATTCAACAAAAATCAACCACGATGACTTCCAGGAGGAACCGTGTGGAGGTCGACCTGATAGGGTACATTGCTATGTATGTTATCTATGAAGGTTCAGAAGTAATGTACAGTGCATTATATTCGGACATACTGCATAACATTCATACAGTACATTCGAAAAATATTATCCTCTTTCTTGCAACAGTCGGTTAAAGAAGGAGAACATTGGAATAATAATTTATAGACACGGCAACAGATGACAAGACTTCCTCTGACTAATAAATTAATAAATAATTACAATATTAGTGATTTCAGTTGGAAAAGTTTTTGTCAAAACAAATTGTACCTTAAAGAATCGGGAGTTAAAGCTTAAAATATAGAAACAATAAATGATTAGGAATTAGTTTTTAACATAGTACTGTACTTTGTATCATACAGTTCAAGTTATTACAGAACCATTATCAATTTATTACGCTTCGTATCAGCGGTAACTTGTCACAATTAATCTTTATTATTGTTTAGGTAATCCGTTGGAAGCTCAGGATCGTTGTTTTTTAGGGAAACAATTTTTAAACTCGGTTTTACATTGTTCATCATTTCTTGGTCTTTTTATTTTTTTTTTAAAAGAGAGACCATACGATTAAACGATCTTTAAAAATACATTAAATCATCGAATGCAACAATTTTTGCCATTTTCTGAATCCAACTTCGAATCAACTATTGTAGTTTACACTGTGGTCGATTCTGAGACGTTATTTCTAATATTTCATTTCAATTTAATATCATAGCGAATTTGCTTTAGATTTAAATCAAAATATTTATAGATTCAGTCTATGATGGTACTTTACAAATTCAACACTAATTGGCAATAATTTAAAGAAATGTCGCCTCAGCATCGACCACATTTTCATGCGGTTTATAATAACAGAAGTTAATTCAGATAATAACAATTGATAGAAAAAAAAATTAAGATTTTATTCTAATGCTTACAAACCATAATTTGTAAGAACACAGCTATAATCGTCTTTTTTGATTTGTATAGTAGACGTAAAGGTATAAAGTGACCGAGGTTAATTGTTTTTAATCTCAAGTAGAAGAGAGTGAACAAAACAAGAGATATCAGGTATCAGATTGGTTCTTTCTTCTTGTATAGGCATTGACGTATTTAGATTTATTTACCAGAAGGTTCTACTCTCTTAAAAAAGCGCATAATTATATATGAAGATATGGTTTATATGAAACGTTAATGAACGCTGCAAACTTTTTTGTTTAGGTGGCAAACAAGCATGCAGTCTGTCTGATGGTAAACAATTACTGTAGCCCATGGATGCTTGCAATACTATGATGATTTACTAGAATCATCTCAACGTTCGAAATTAAATATTACTAAATTTAAATAGTACAAAAGTATCTACATAAGTACATACATAAGTACATATGTATATATGTATTAAACATATATTTGCTAATAGTTGAAAGCTTCTCGTCTTAGGGCGAGCACCAGACAAATATGGAGTGAATACTCTTTATGGTACTTTACAAAAAGAAATAGAAGGTGACCACATTGCAATAACTAATTTAATTCTATTAATAGATGTTAGTAAAGAATTTCTTGAAACTCCAATCACGAGAGCGTTAGAAATTCTTTAGAATTATTCGAATTTTTCCCATCCAGAAGAGATTAATCCGTTTTACATCAAAATACCTGGACAGGGTATTTTCTTTTGAAGATACCTGAACATAATCCAGAAAACAAATAAATTTGTAATAGACAGTTCTATGTAAATCTCTAATACGATTAAAAATAACAGAAGCCAAAAAAAAATCAAGGCAAATCGAATGAGTAATTTTTATATAAATAGGGCAAAGATAAAGTAAGGTATTTTAAGTTCAGTATGACGTCATTTTCATTTATTATTAATTGATTTTACTATTTATTTTACAAAGAAAGTGATAAAACATGATACGGCTCGCCTGATGGTAAATAAACGGTTACTGAATTATGGATAATAATAAAGAAGTATACCTTTGCACTTCCACGCTTTTTTTTCTGGAAATTATCGTGGCTAAAATTACGGAAATTGTCACGTCGGCCAAGAAACCTATTTCCATTCTTATCCTTATCATCTCCGCTGGCGTATACCAATAGCGTAGGTGGAGTAACTATTCTATTTTCATCCATAAAAAAATCCAAAAAAATCTTTTCATTCTCACTTATCATTCCTTACCGGTGCCCCGCCAGCGTATACCGTTAGCGCAGAAGGGGTTACCATTTGATTATCATCCATTACAATAAAAGTCCAGGCGGGGTTACCATTCCCTTTTTCATACATAAAAAAAAAAAAACTCCACAGTATCGACGTCCGTTGCGTTATGCCAAAAATCAAAATACAATTCCAGCCTTATTCGAATGTCGTTTATCGTAGCAATGAAATATTATTATGCGTTGAGACGCTCCCTGCATACAAATTATTTGGCCGGCTAATTGATAAAACGCGTTCACATTGTACAAAATATTCCTGACACCTACCTTTTAATTATGTATATGTTTACTAGTTGCGCACGCGACTTTGTCTGAGTTGTTGTTGAATTTAATGTTAGTATTAAAAAGTAATATCAAACTTGCAGATAGAATAGTCTTTACCTGCGACTTCGTACGTGTTATCGGGATATATTGATCGACAGTATCTCTAAAAGAATTATGTCTTTCCGTAAGAATATATTTATTCTTATGGTTTTTCACTATCACAAATATTTGAAAGATTGGTTGAATCGTTAAAGTGCAAAGAAGTAATAAAAAGAAAACAGACTCACATTCAAATTTATAATTATTAAGAATTATATTATGGTTTATAATAGACGGTACATATATGGTCATTATCATACCATATTAACCGTTATCTGTCCACTATTGAACATCCCCTATACTGCTATAAGGAACAGTCCCGAGCCACCTGCATCCACTTACCACCAACAATGTATTTCAGGTCGAAACTTAAAAATAAACCATAAATACCATATATGTATGGTTTATTATGGGTTATTGTTTAATTTTGCTTAAGTTTATTAAGGTATGTATATGGTTTATTATGGGTTATTGTCTAATTTTACTTAAGTTTTTAGTAAAGTTTTGCGCTGTGGATAACTATAATTGGCTAGCATGTAGTAAATGTAATGTAATATGTACGTATTCAATTTTGTAAATAGCTGTTGTTTTTTTTTTCTTTTTTTTATACAACTTAGAATGGCAAACAAGCTGACGGCCCACCTGATAGAAAGTGGTAACCGTCGCCTATAGACATGAGTACTACCATGGACATAACTGTAGCGGCTCACTCCCGGGAAAGATGCAGAAAGCGGTGCTCTTAGATTCTGCCCGCATTGTACGCCGGTTTCTCTCCCTGGGGCCCTGAACCCGGGCCGACTGTGCTTCTGCCGGGGGTTAGTTGCCATCTCCTCTCCTTAAGAGGGGAGATGTGAATTTTGTAAAAATTTAAAGAATAATAATAAATATTTTTTGATAAATATGACCACCCAAATATCCAAAGCGTTCTAACGCTATTTCATACATATAATGGAAAACTTGAAACTACATCTTCAATAATAAAATTGCTTTGAAATCCGTTCAACTATTTTCTTTCTAAGAACGTAACAAAAGATAAATATATTTACATCGTATCTAAAAATGGCCGATTACGGTTCTATTGCTTATATCCAACCTCCCTAGCTAATTTTCGCGAATAAATCTCAATGCAGACTCATCGAGCTCTGTGATTTTATTACTAAAGGTAGGTAAATATAGATAAATTGTATGTTTATTTTTTGTATTTGTATCAGCCATTGACACTGACAGTGGACAATTGCTAAATATAGCCTCCTCTTAAAGAAGGGTTTTACCAGTAGTTACTACACTTGGCAGATGGGTTGGCAACCACAATTAGGGTTTGGTGATGTTTTAAGAGGGACGCTGCTGCCCATCCCTCGACCATTAAGTCCCCTCTGTTACGACACCCATGGGAAAGCCAGGTGTAACTCAATAGTATATTACCCACGTAGAATTAAGCCAAGTTAACATTAAATGCCAAAACAATTACACTATTTCTCTGGTTCTTCAAATGGAGTACTTTGAAGAATGGACAACAGCAAAGTTTCCCTATTTAGTCCTTCTAAGAATCGAATCTGAAACTTCAATTAAGGTCAAGGAGTTCTATTGAATACGCGTAGCAATATTACTTCTGAATATTAGGTGTTTTCTTCCAGTGTTTTCCATTTGACTTCGTTAGCCACATTGGCTTTGTTACGATGGCTGAATTTTAAATTACTTCTGTGTAAAAAAAACCGAACAGCACAATGTCGTTATTTTTCATAATTTACAAAAGTCTGAAAGTAATGTTGGTTCATATAATATACTAGTTTGTTTTGCTCACTACTTGGTGTGTGTGGATTTTAGAACATTACCTTCCAGATGTAACAAGATAAGACATATAACAGACGTTAAGTTATACCTACCTATAGAAATACAATTGTTAAAACCGCATTGAATTTTGTGTAGTAGTTTTTGCCATAACAAACTGATAAACAGACAGACTAAGTAAGTATAAATAACGCGAAAGTTTAAAATTAAATAAATTTTTGAAAATTATTGTTTTGACTATTATTGCACTAATGAAGATCCCTCATATCAATTTTACTTAAATATCTCTCATATATAGATATCGTTTAGTAAAAAATTTAATTATAATATTAAGATAAATAGATTTATTAATATTTCTTTAAGTATTTCATTATACAAAGCTTAAATTATAATTTAATAGTAGAGAAACTATTTTTACGTGTGCACACAATTTTACAAAATGCAAATGGCCGCGTGATCGAACAATACAAATAAAAGATAGTGTTTGCGTACAATCATTCAGCCCTCGACCGCTTCGAATGTTGATGCGATGTGTACAAATATAGCGTATGATGGATTCTCTGTAAATATTGTTATTCTAATTTGATTGCATTCCATCCAGTGAGCGGATTTATTTATAGAAATTGTTGTATCATTATATAATGTTAATATAGTTATTACTTACTTTCATTTGGGACTATAATGAAGGATGGAAATAGATACATTTCAAGAATATATGTGATAACATGTTCCATTAATAATTTAAAATCATAAACGTTATAATAATTAAAATATTAAACTAGCTGTTGCCACCGACTTCGCCCGCGTTTCCGTTGTTTTTCATCAAATAAATAGCCTATGTCCTTCCTCACGGTTCAGTGGTTTTGATGTAACAGACACATTTCCCTTCACTGCTCTGCTCCTATTGATCGTAGCATGATGAAAAGTATGCTAACCTGCCCAGGAGTATGAAGAATAATTGTACCAAGTTTCGTTAAAATCCGTCGAGTAGTTTTTGTTTCCATAATGAACATACAGAGAGACAGACAAAAATTTTACTGATTGCATTTTTGGCATCAGTATAGATCACCCCCTGATAGTTATTTTGGAAATATATTTAATGTACAGAATTGACCTCTCTACAGATTTATTATAAGTTTAGATTGTATTTCATCATCAGATTATCAGCCGTTATCTGTCCACTATTGTACATAGTCCTCCCCCATAGACTGCTATAAGGAACGGTCCTCAGCCACCTGCATCCATCGACTTCTTGCAATTTATTTGAGATCGTCACTCCATTTAGTGGTGGGTCGTTCTAAATTATGTATTTAAATTCTATTAATATTAATGTAAGTAAATCTTTGTAACGATAGATGGATGGGAGTTTTTATTCTTTCACGCAAAAACTTCTGAATAGATTTAAATGAAATTTGATACACGTGTAAGTTATTTCCTACCTTAGCACATAGGATACTTTCTGTACTGATTTACGTGCGAGAAACAGCGGAAAAGAGCTAGTATTAAAATAAATATTTTAGCACCTGTAATATACTTAGATCCTCACTATTTTTTATTTAGGTTTTTTTTATATCACTGAGGTGACAAATAAGCACACGGCCCACCTGCTGGCACGCGGTTACCGTAATCTATGATCGCCTGCAATGCTGTGTTGCAGAAAAACGAGAAACCTCTTTAAGCCTATTTTGAATAAATCTATTAGACAGAAACAATTTGGTACCTAAATATTATATATATATATATATATATATATATATATATATATATATATATATATATATATATATATATATATATATATATATATATATATATATATATATATATATACAACTTATACAACTTAGAATAGCAAACAAGCTGACGGCCTACCTGATGGAAAGTGGTAACCGTCGCCTATAGACATGAGCAGTACCATGGACATAACAGAGTATACTGTTTCGCCCATGATACCCCCCATGCTTAGCCATTCCTGAGGACTCAGGTGTTATTCCTCTGTACCCTGTAAATTCACGCTATATCCCACCCTTCAAACCGAAACACAGCCATGCAAAGACAACTGCTTCACGGTTGAAACACCAACCGCTCCGTTAGATCTCTCTTTAAGTGCTCTCAGTAATCGCTCTTGAGTACTACGATTTTTGAGTATTAATTACAATTATGACAATAATATATTAATTACAAGATGCCATGGCCGTAGTTAGGGAGGGGGGGCATTGATATTCTTAATATCTTTATTCATATGATGCCCTTTAATAATTTAATTATATTTTAATGTTTATCAAACACAAGGCATGCTGTGGTTGCCTATAAATGTAAGAATAGTAAGATCTAATCTACCAGTGTATTGTATTAAAATGTTTAGCTGTATCTTATGTTGGTAATCCTATAAATAAATAAATAAAAGTAATCCTACCTTTAAAGACCCAACGCCCTACCTTAAAATGAAGGGCCACAAGAAGATTCGCTTTTTCGAAGTCATTTAATTATGGTTTCTGCTCTACCAAACAGTTCTATTGCCCTAACTTAAACTTTAGTCTAGCTACGGTCCTATAAGATGCCCATTATTATAGAGGCTACATTTGGTTTCATCATTTTTATTTATTTATTTATTTAACACTTTATTGCACCAACATAACATGATTTGTTAAAACAATTTTCAATACGTATAGTGTAGTACAAAAGGCGGTCTTATTGCTAAGCAATCTCTTCCAGACAACCTTTGGGTAGAAAGGATTAAAGCATAAGTATTTATTTGTATTAAAAGAAAAATAAATAGTGAAGTAGCTATAGTTTCATAGCTGTGTTTTGGTTTTAATTAATGGGATTGGGGATATGGCAGTTAAATTACAGGATAGATATAATACCATACCATGCCAAATAGGGGGAAGAATATGTTCATTAGTGGATAGTAACATCATCATCACCTATATAACATACACCCTAAATGCATCATTATTTATGCAGAAATTAAGATATCAAGAAGTATATACATTTGTCGTACTCTTAGGTAAGTTACTTTACTTTTTTAGCTTTAACATCATGAATTTTATATATTAAATGAAAAATTATGCGGTCATCAACATGGTTATATGAAGGACGCACAATACAACTTTGATTTGAATGCATGTTTGCATGACATTATTTGAATATAAATATACTGATTCCAATTACAAAGACATTTATGGTTTATGCGATTTGAATTATAGATTAATTTATATAAATAAGTACGCAGTGCAACGTCTTCACGGAATATTGGATTGACTTTTTATATAGCGTACATATATATATATATATATATATATATACATATATATATATATATATATATATATATATATATATATATATATATATATATATATATATATATATATATATATATATATATATATATATATAGGCGAGCCATGTAAATAGATAAAATATTATGTTGATAAACAGTCGCAATTACAAAATTCGTATAATGGAAATAAGTAATCGGGACAGAAACATATATTACAACAGCGTCCAATATTGTAATTTTGTCCATGGAATTCGTATTTTTTTTTAATAAGCACTGTATGCAACCATTTAAGTTTTAAGATGAGAAAATAAACTTTTGTCAATGGCGTAGGTTTTTTTTCAATGGGTAACAATGGGATAGTAATCTCGCATTTGGTAACGGTATACGCTAGCGGATTACCAGAGAGGGATGATAGGTGAAAGTAAAAAAGCAGGTCAGTTAGCTCGTCATCTGGAATTAAGGGTGATGGTTTCCAGGGGCGACCACGTGGATATCGACTTGACAAAGTATATTGTTAGCAATAGGACTGGTGGTCCCCATTACTAACAATACCTTCTTCCCCCGGTAGTGAGGGGTGTAATACATTTCGTAGATTCTTTCATAGAAAAAAATATTGGGATGCGGTCCAATAAATAATAGGTACAAAATCAATCAAGGACAAAGTTTATCCTCGATTTGAGGCTATTAAAGTGAACATAAGTTATTTTTATCACTGTCAATTAACTATCCGGACACGACAAGGTCATAATAAATCCCGGTAATGCCAATAAAGTCAGGGGAAAATATTCGTTGAATCAGTTATTTTATACATACCATTTGCGGCAGCCAACAAATCATGAATAAAACTGACAGCGTAGCCATCAGCCTACTGAAAGCGACTTCCTCAGCGGTGGCAGCATTGTGATGAAGGTGTAGATTGTTCCTGGAGTTTAGGCTTCTCTCTTGCTGCCTACAGCTGCTCTTCGAGACCCGTCTCACCACCGGTTGACCACTAGATCTTGGTGCAGTAATCGCATACAGTGCCTTGATTACTGCCAAGTTGCAGTATACTAGGATGACGCATAGCATCGTGCCTGTAAAGAACACATAATTTTTTGTTTTTATTTATCTCGGCTTTACTCGCGTTTTAAATTCGGGGATGCTCGCCTAGTTTCGTATTCAATAGGAGCCCTTATTCATGAGCGCGGTTCACGACTGTGTCGCGTGCGGAACCAACGTGCTGTTTGTTTGTGGTAGTGGTAATGGTATATTTTTATACTATCTTACAATGCAAATAATTATACAACACCTGACGGAAAGTGTTAACTGTCGCCCATAGATATAAAAAGCATCAAGGATCATGGCATTGTAATGACTATGGTGTCCCTTATGCATTTCTATTTCTGAGAACTATAGTCTTATTATCATTTCACCCTTCAAAGCGAATTTCAGCCATGGTTTACAGCAGAAACACGAGAAGAATACGTAAGAGGTATGTTACTCAAGCAGATGACTCATATACAAAAGTCTTTCTCGGGTAATATTTTAATACTGTTTAGACAAATTGATAGAAGCATTATGCAATAGTATATATTGTCATATATATAGGATCAGTCTATGAATTTTAGAAATCACTGCTGGAACTTTCTGAAAGAGGTTTTTTGGGCTCGGCAACGCGCACGTAATGCCTCTAGTATTGCAGAATATTATTAGGGTAGGAAGGCAAACGAACAGACAGTCCACCTGATGCAAAGCGGCTACCGTTGCCCATGAACACCTGCAATATGAGAGAAGTTGCTTATACGCATTAGCAACTCCTCTCATATTGCAGGTGCTGGCCTTTTAAATGTTTGTAGGTGCCGATTTTTGGTCGACGGGCGTTTTCTGTATCAAATGTTATTGTAGGAAATTATAAGTTTATTATTGTAATTATATTTCTTATATATTGTATATTAAATATGGTTATATGATTCGTAATAAATAAAATATAAATGATTTTATATAAAAACGGGTAATACCAGCTTAAAAATAATCACGCAGGTCGTGTGTTATTTGAAATAAGAGTCAAGTCATCGAAACTAGTTTTATTATTTATTTATTTATTAATACATGTATGTGTACAAAACGGACTTAATGCTAAAAGCATTCTCTCCTAATTGATCTTAAGGAAGTGTCAGAAAACTCGAATGCGGTACTAGTTATAAGTGATATACATACATACTAAAATTTATATATATAAATAAATATATATATATAAATAAATATATATATATATATATTTATATATATATATATATACGTACACATATATAAAATATACTATATTGTATATATTCTTATTTAGGTTGTACTCGTATGTATGATACGAGTTATGGAATTGGATTAAAATATATATTACATATTATGGAGGATTTATCACTTGATTTTCTTCATCTATCACGCAAAAGATGACGTGATGATAGATAATGGAGTCAATTCGAAAGTGCCATTTTTCTAAATGTGTTTCTAAAATGAAAATTTCAATTTGATATTACAACAATATCTTTATTCTAAGAATCAATCTAAACTTTTCTAATAGATTTACGTCAAAATTATGATAAATTTAATTTATGATGGTTCATAAAACAGTAATTTTGCGCAACTACCAAATTAAAATATTAGGTTAAGAGCTAAGTTTAGAGAAATTTCGCCTAAGAATCGAACTCAATTTAGCATTTGTCAATAGACTGTTTAAACTGTTTACGTAGGAAAGTGACAAAATATGGAAAAATCGATGTAGTAATGAACAGATGTAATGTACGTATTGATATATTTCTTATCGCAGTTTAAGCTGCAAAGATTAAACCACTTCGCGATAAGTTTATCAATATTTATATCATTGGGAAGTGTATAGAACCATCGAAATATCATCTTTATACCGTCGACTCAACAGAACTAGGATTGCTATGCATTGTTATGGGCCCAGTGATAATGGAGGTTTTTTTAATGAGTGATAATGGTAACCCCGCTTGTGCTGTCAGTTTACGCTGGTGGGGCACCAGTGAGGAATTTTAGATGAGAATGAAAGCAAGTTAGTTAGCTCATCGTGACGAATTCCATAAGGATTAACTAAGATGGCTTCCAGGGGAAAGTGCGTGGTTATTGATCTAATAGGATATATTTATTTATAGAACACATTACAAAAAAAAAATGTCTAGTACAAAAGGCTATTTTTATTATATTTATTGCTAGCAATGGAGCTGTTAGATTCCCATTCCTAACAATCCCATCGCCCGATAATGAAAGTGGAAACAGATATCAAAGTTAAAAAATATTGTCTTTTATTTATGTATAAATCCTAATTATTGTTAATGCAAACTACCAGTCCCATTGCTGACTATATACTTTATCAAGTCGAACTATCGAATCGAATCGAATCGAATCGAAAAGTCGAATACTATGTAGCGATTCTACAATCGCACCGTGTCATGGTAATGGGTCGTAGTGATTTATAGGTACGGGTCTTTACTATCCTTTAATGTGTAATTTAAAAACTGGTGCATGTTTCATTGTGACATATTATCTAGCTGGAAGCTGAGTGCAATCTCTAAGCTCATATACGTTAATAACCGGTCCACACGGCGAATGAACGTAAATATTATACGCAATTTATAGTCGCTGGCGATTAAAATCGTTGTAGTGCGAGTCCAGCATTAGATACTAACAAACAAGCGCTTCCGTGGGGAAGGGATTGTAAGTAATGCAGACTACCAGTTCCATTGCTAACAATATGTCCTTTCAGGTCGACCTCTACGTAGTCCCCCTGGAAACCATCGTGCTGATTTCCAGGGCTATTCATCACGATGGGCTAACTGATCTGCCTTTTTATCCTCATTTATCATCCCTCACTGATGCCCCGCCAGCGTATACCGCTAGCGCAGGTAAGGTTATCATTCCATTATCATCCATTAAAAAAAACAAGCGTTTCCAGACGCAATTTTTATTCTTGCCCACATTTGAATTGTTTTCCTCCAAAATACGAGTAGTACTATATCCTACAGTTTTTTTTTAAATAATCACAAATTTACACCCGTTTTTATTAATTTTTACCGCGTAATCATTTTGAGTGGCGATACTCTATAGAATATTATATGATTATACTGATATATATGGTTTACAAATTCTAAAATATTTTTTCTTTAAAAACTTATCTAACTTAAGCTCTAACTATTTTACAACTTATCCAACACCATTCTCCATAAGACAAATTGTTACCTAAAGTTCTGGCAAAATACCCAATCTGGCAACACTGTTGTAAATCATGTACTATATCATAAGCAAGCTGACAAGTTATTAACATATTGTTAAATCTATTAGGTATGGATTATCTAGTCGTGAATAAAATAGGCTAGTGTACAATATAAAAATGATTTATGCTGTCGTCAGTCAAGTAATAATAACTACTCATGTTTGGTGACGTTTATTACCTGGGTGTATAGCACTATTAAAATATTAATTTGGTAATGGACGCCATATTTATATTTTTATGTTGTAATTAAATAGGGTTGCCATCCTACTACACACAAAAATAAACACAAAAGTTTATAAGGATATATAAACAAGTTCGTAAGTATGTTATTCTTTGACGCAAAATCTACTGAACAAATTTAAATGAAATTTGGTACACTGGTTGGTTATATCCTAACGTAGTACATAGTATACATTATATATTGATACCGGCGGCGAAACCGTGAGATATAGCTAGTTTTCTAAATGAGTATATAAACTAGAAGGTATAAATAGAAATGAAATTAATACAAGAACAATACTGGAGTAAAATCTATTGATTAAAAAAGAACAATCGAAAGCCTGCCTATTGTTGTCTCTTTACATGGTTTCTTGAAATACTTTTTTTTGTGATTATAAGTATTTTATGTAATTGTATCATTCTTTGAGGGGAGCGACAAGGGGCTTTCATTCATTAATTCTGATGAATGAAATCAACTAAAATAGGTTCGGAATTAGCAGAGATATCTAGTACCATATCTAAAAAATCGTTGAATTAGGAACATTCCATTTTTAAATATCGCTTAAAACTATCAAGTTTATTCGAAATATAACTGCTAATTGAACACATAGACATAGAATGGAGTTAGACGACGCAATTGCACTATTTGATGAAAAGTATGAGTGTCACCACTAAACTACATTCCTTGATGTAACAAAAGTTATTTACTAGCACGTAACCCTTCCCGCACTAAAAGAACTATTAGGAACTCTCGTAGTAACTTCCAATCGAAGTTTAGCCGCATTCAATTTGGCTCTATTGAACCTAATTTAGGATAGAAAATTGACTTAAGTATTTTAGTACATAGTTCAAGAGACTTTGTACAAAAGTCGTTTGCTTGTGACAGAGGTCAAGCAAGCAGTCTAGTTTGCACGCTTGTATTTTAATTTGAAATGTAAAATATGGCAGTGCAATTATAGGGTAGGGACAAGGGCTTAACATATTAATTACTAGCAATGTCGTAAGACTTAATCACGTGAATGACTACATATCCTAAGTGCTACTCGTAAGTTAGGATATAACTTGTTCGTGTTTTAAAATTCATTGAAATCCGTTTAGTAGTTTTTGCGTAAAAGATTACCTAACATCCATGTACTTATCCATTCTTATAAATTTTTGTATTTATAATATTAGTAAAAATCGACTAAGGGAACTTAATAAAGACAACAGGAAAAAACTGGACATATATTGCTAAAGAAAGGGAAACAGGAAAAAAATGGTCTTTTCTAAAAGGAGGTCTTTACCTTTGGGGACCTTTAAAGTGGAGAAAAACGTACAATAATAATTATAAAGGGAACTTAATGATCGAGGGATAGACAGCAGCATCCTTTATAAAACATCACCAAAAGTCTAACTGCGGTTGCCAACCCACCTGTCAAGCATGGCAACTACTGGCAAAATCTTTTTTAGTCATATATCTGACATCAATAACTATTTAAATCCATATCTGTGGAAATAAATATAAGTATGCATGCATGTATCTTACCGAAGCTGACATAGAAAATAGCATATGCGAAGTCGACGCTGTGTGTAGCATTCCTGTATCGGATGCATTGGCTTTTATCCTCGTCATAATAAAGGCCGAGTCCGAAGACAGGAGCGCAGGTGAGTACCGCGGCCCAGAACCAAGACACCAGTAGCGCCATGCGTATCACGTAATACGTGACTTGCTGTAACAAAAAAAAAAGTTTAGAACATTGTTCTTTTTTTAAAAGTATAAAATTCCAGTGAGAGTTTTATACTTTTTGAACACAGTACAGTTCTTATAGTTGAGTCAGCTTAATACAATTTTAAGTATAATTCGAAAGTTTATACCTAATGGTGTCCCCTTTAGGTATACAGAGTGAGAGTACTTTTTTGCTAAAATGAAAATGGAATGGTATATCCTCTTGCACTATTAGTATACATTAGCAGGTGATAGGCTGCCCCAGCTGCAGCCTGCTGATTCCAGGCTCATAAGCGATATCGAACCCTTAAGTCTTAGGAGACATTTTGCCTTACTCTGCGTATTATACCACTTGTACTATGGATTCTGCTCAGAGGAATTGTTCAATATGATACCCACAGCCACTTTCTACCATCGTACGGCTCGCCATCGACAGGGAGTTCATCCTCATGTCCTACAGCCTCAATGGTCGCGTACTGCGCGGTTTCAGAGATGTTTCCTCCCACGAACACTCAGGTTGTGGAATGAGCTCCCTGCCGAGGTTTTCCTAAGAGACTACAGCGTGGGGTTCTTCAAAAAGGGGGGTAAAGAGGTTTCTTCAGGGTCGGCAACGCACGCGTAATACCTCTGGTATTGCAAGTGTTCATAGGCTACGGTAACCATTTACCATCAGGTGGACCGTATGCTTGTTTGCCACCTCAGTGGTATAAAAAAAAGCTCACATTACTTATTTACTTATTAATATACTTAGTCTTGTTTTTCGCATTTTCTTGTATTATTCTAATAGTCAATGCGACATTAGTTATATCTTAATCCACGCGAGCATAGTCACAGGTTATAATTATAAACAGTAGTAAATAAATTAACTATCATCAGTGACCTATTTTTCTGTTATTGTACAATCTCTATGCACACACCAAATCAACAGATTTTGCAATGTAAATAGTTGTGATACGTGCGTGCTAGGATCCACGTTCTTGTAAATCATTTTCTATGGATTGCATGGAAAGAGGTCACATCAAGAGCTGAGATGACGACCGTACGACGATTATGACATAGTCCTCTGACCCAAAAATAGCATAGGGTATTCCATATTACCAACAATCTACTGCATATATAAACGACTTAAATTTTTTTTTAATTCATTTGTATTTTTAATAGCTTTCACTCATTATTTCATATGCCTAGATTTCAGAAGTAGAAAAACCATAAAATGTATCATTTCTTGATATTGTATTATACACTAGATTTTAAGATAGACCTTCGGGAAGACAACTGTGAAAACCAATTGTGTGCGTGATGCCGCCCGAAGCAAATATACAAACAGACAGATAAAAAATTTCAAAAAATTGTTTTATTTTTTAAATATACAGATTGTCTAGTTACAATTTTATTATATTAATAAAATAAGTTAACATTTATTTCATTTATTTATTTATTTAGGTTTACCAACAATTGTTTCCACAAAATAATGTAAATATATATACAATTAAATTAATGTAAAATTTTTTATAGGCAAACACAGCATATAAACTATTAAACTGAGAAATATATATGATAAAATTTCCATAAGCAGATGAAACCAATCTGAATAAGTATATCCTGGTTTTAGATTAAAATTGATATAATTTTCCTATTATCATTGGTTTACAACTTTTGAACGGTATTATGTAAGGTAACAGTACAATATTAAACATAAAAAAATACAACAAAATCTCTTGTTTTGATCTAAAAACAAAACTATTAAACCGATTTTGATAAAATTTCTGTGAAACCAATCTATAAGTATATCCTTTTAGATAAAAATATAATTTTCCAAATTGGTTTACAACTAACGGTATTATGAGGTAACAAACATAAAAAAATACAACAGGCTCCTTTTTTTTTTAAGTCCCTTGGTAAAATCCGTCGTGTTTAGGCTCGAAACAACATATATGTGTTTATTTATACTCGTTATTTACGAGGATTACGTCTATAATTCCCTCTTTCCACGCTTGGTTGCCAACCGTAATGTAATGTGACACCTGAGGGGCCGTTTGTCAACCATTTTTATTCCTTAGTTGCCTAATTGTGTGCCCATACGATATACAGATACGTTATGTACATATAATAGTGACAGTGGCGTTTTCCATACCAAAGTCCATACGACAAATTTTCTATATAAGTTAATTACTGAATGTACTTCAGAACGGCTGTAAATAATAAAGTAAATATCAGGACAAGATTTGTATGAAAGAAAATGTTTGAAAAATGGTACTAAAAAGTAAAGTTTGGGTTAAAAATCTCCATTTAAAAAATGAGTGTTTAAGATAGAAGACAGTAGAGTCCTTAAAAAATTAAATTGAAAGATTTCGACTCGTTTTCTTCATTAGTATATATGTGCAAAGCCGAGGCAAGTAACTATTTATAAAAAAATAAATAAATAATAAATAATATTACATAAGAAATATCTCAAACATGCAGGAAATGAGCAGCTACGTTTAATTTGGCAGCGGAAGTGCTTCCGTGGTATAGTTAAACAAACTCTAGTCCTAGATATAATTTGGTATGTGTACACAGAATACACGTGAGTCGATTTTATTGTTTGCAAATAATGCTTACTCATTGTTTATTAGATAATTTAATATATAATATTAGAAGAATGATATAACAAATGAGCGACCACTACCCGCAATAAGATTTTAGTGTTGTTTTAAGAGGCACGCTGCTGTCTATCCCTCGACCAATAAGTTCCACCAGTTACCTTTTATGGGTAAAGTAAGTTTATATTACGTTTTAATTCATTAATATTTATTTATTTAGGTTCACCAACAATTCTTTCCATAAGATAGTGTAAATATTTATACAATGATGGAACTTTTTTTTTTACAGCACAGGGGGCAAACGAGCATGCGGCTCACCTGATGGTAAGTGACTACCGCCGCCCATGGTCACCCACAACATCAACGGCATTGCAGGTGAGCTGCCGGCCTTTTAAAAAGGAATATGCTCTTTTCTTGAAGGTTATGTTGTCGTATCGGTTCGGAAATACTGCTGCTGGAAGTTAATTCCAAAGAACGGTTGTGCGAACTAAGTGTAAAATTTGTTATAGTCAAACACAGTATGTATTGATACTTATTATTAGTATGGAGAGAAACAACTATTATTGAATGCTTAACAACCAAAGCCACCATATCTATAAGCAGATCCAGCAACACGACTCATTTTATACATTTATAGACATTACGTACAAAAGCATTTGGAGTATCAAAATTAATATCGACCTGGTCACTGCAGCTATTTATAAATTTACAAAACCTTACAATTTAACATCACCAAGACAAGACTAGTCCGTACTCTGATTTTCTCGATATTTTTGTATGGAGTCGAGTCATGGACAATAAGAGCAAAGGAGCGAAAAAAGATTGATGCTCTCGAGATGTGGTGCTGGCGAAAGATGCTGAGAATTCCCTGGACAGCAAAGCGCACGAATATATCTATCCTGACGCGACTCCGCATAAAAGATAGGCTCTCGACAGTCTGCTATCGGAGGATTCTTGGATACTTCGGTCATGTTGCTCGACGACAGTCCGACAATCTGGACAAACTAATAGTTGTAGGCAAGATAGAGGGAAAAAGACCACGCGGACGATCGCCTAATCGATGGTCGGACCAAGTAACCGCCGTTACGGGACTGTCAATGGCAGCTACCCTGCGAGAAGCTGAAGACCGTGCAAAATGGAATAACATCATAAGAGAGGCAACAGACACCTTTCAAGGACATGACCTTCAGTAATGAAGAGGACGAAGAGAGAGAGAGAGACAATTGAACAATTACTACCTAGAACAGTTCTTAAAATATAAAATAATAATCTCGCGAGGATACATTAATTGAAATAATTAACATATTTCTTACAACGATAACAAGTTACAAACCTTTTGAAACTGGAGACGCAATTAAAAGTTACAACAGAAGACTGACTAACGGCGAGTCGCGTTTCTCTAATAATCTACACTAATATTATAAAGAGGAAAGATTCGTATTTTTGTGTGTATGTTTGTAAAGAATATGCTCAAAAACTACTTTGCCGATTTCAAAAATTCTTTTAACATTCGAAAGCTACATTCACCTTGAGTAACATAGGCTAGAAATGATTAGGAATCCTTACTAAACCTTTAGTAATGTAACTCAAGGTGTTAAAATGTTAAAAAAAAAAATGTTAAAAAATATCTTTCGTCGCGTGCGCTGCGGATTCTATTGGTGATTGAACAAAAGTATGTTCTATAATATTAAAGAAAATATCAATTACTACAAAAAACTTCGCGATACTATATGCCCAACTATTATTGTTATGTCACAAATAACCACTTTTTAAAATGTCGTAAAAATGTCCACCCGTGCGAAGTCGGAACGAGCCGTTAGTTTAAAATAAATTCAGGTTTAACCTAAGGTTTTCGAGCTAGCTATCTATTTCTGGTAGGGTGTATAAAATGTCTTTGAATTTTTCTATTACCTTTTATATACATTATATTAATTAAAGTAATGTAGTCTTTGAAACCACTGTTAATAAATAATAGGGTTGAAAAAAATATATTTATTTTCTTAGTAAAAATAACGTACTTACCAAATTAAAAAAAATAAAATAAAAAAGTAACAATCCGTATCTGTGTTAACGTCTGTTTGTATATACACTTTATATTGTGTATTGCCATTGGTATGCCTTGGTTGTTGTATGGGATGTTCTTTTTTCGAAAATTTTAATACCTGTTTTTTTTTTGTTTTTGATAATAAATGATTCTAGGAAAAAAAGTATTTTTGAGACCCTATTAATTAATACTAGCACCAGTTTTAATGTATGTGTTACGTTAATTAACATATTATGTATATGAGAGTTGTGTACAGTACGATTTTAAATGGATGCTCAGAACTTGTACTATATTAAACTATACTATATTAAAGTCCTACTGAGGCAGAAGGAACCGTTAGTACGTCGTCCTTTTGGAAACTTCTATGGTTAATTCCTA